CAGGCCGAGATCTGCAGAACTTGGCAAGGAGCCTTGGAGAATCACGAGCCAATTAAGTGAACTAATGGTCTCCTGCAACCTCCACCCCCCCCTCGCTCCTCTTTTATTCTCTCTAGGAGTGGCCATTCACAGATCACCTGTGGCCTTACTCCCAAGTCGACTCCTGTTCTTTAGCTGTCCCCTTCGTCTGGCAACTCACACTGGGAACAGGCTCCAGCTGTTCTTCTGCCTCACTGATCTCTGACTCCGAAGGCAACTGATAAGTGGCATGCAGGCCTGGCCCCCTCTCTGCCTCCGACACAGAGCCCTCATCAGAGCCTTCCCCAGACTCCAGGACTGGCCCATCTTCCTCCCCAACCTCCTCACTGTCTGATTCTGCTGCCAGCTACTGGTGGGCCACAACAGCTACGGGCTATGCAACAGAACTGAGCTAGGTTAGTGTTTCTCAACCTTGGCCGTCGTAAGATTGGTGGACTCCCAGAATTCCCTAGCCAACATGCCGGGAGTTGAAGACAACACACTCTAACTAGGGAATTCTGGGAGTTGAAGTCGACTTGTCTTAAAGTTGCCAAAGTTGAGAAACACTAAATTACATGCCTGAAGGCTAAAGCTATTTTTCCCAATCTTGTATGCGCCAGATCTATTGAACTCTAATTTTGAGGGATCGTCTCTTGCCGGTCACATCTACCCGAAGCATCAGAGTGGGGAGGCGGGGAATGTTGTGGGTCCCATCCCCAAGGGAGATACACCGAGTGGGACCCAGAAGAAGGGCCTTCTCTGTGGTGGCTCCCTCCCTCTGGGACATCATTCCCCCAGAGATTAGAATGGCCCCCACTCTAATGCTCTTCCAGAAGGCGCTGAAGATCTGGTTCTGCCAGCGGGCCTGGGGAACACAGAGCGGGATGGAGCCCGTTAAATGGCTTGTGTGATCTGCTGTTGCCGAGGCGGGTGGTGGTGGTGATTGGAGGCGGGGATTGATTTTGTTATATTGCACTATATTAATGTATTTGATTCTTTTTGCTAGTTTTTTTTTATTGTTTTAAATGTGGTTTTATATTCTGTAAGCCGCCTTGAGTCTCCATGGGCGTATAGGCGGCAATATAAATTCACTAAATAAATAAATACCCAGAATTTCACCCCAGTGCATGTAGGAATTCTGGGAGTTATCATTTGGAGGTATCATTTTGGAAAAAGCTGTTTTACAATACAATACAATAGCAGAGTTGGAAGGGACCTTGGAGGTCTTCTAGACCAACCCCCCAAAATGTGATCGCGTGACCCTGGATCACTGCAAAGGTCATAAATATGAACCAGTTGACAAGCATGCGAATTTTGATCATGTGTTCCTGGGGGACACTGCAATGGTCATTGGTGTGAAAATGGTCATAAGTCACTTTTTTCAGTACCGTTGGAATTTTGAATGGTCACTAAATAAACTGTTGTAAGATGAGGATTAAATGTATGGTGCTTACAGATGTCAGCTGGAAGGGACCTTGGAGGTCTTCTAGTCCAACCCCCTGCCCAGGCAAGAAACCCTATACCGTTCCAGACAAATAGCTATCCAACATCTTCTTAAAGGCTTCCAGTGTTGGGGCATTCACAACTTCTGGAGGCAAGCTGTTCCACTGATTAATTGTTCTAACTGTAAGGAAATTTCTCCTCAGTTCTAAGTTGCTTCTCTCCTTGATTAGTTTCTACCCATTGCTTCTTGTTCTACCCTCAGGTGCCTTGGAGAATAGTTTGACTCCCTCATCTTTGTGGCAACCCCTGAGATATTGGAAGAGTGCTATCATGTCTCCCCTGGTCCTTCTTTCTATTAAACTAGACATACCCAGTTCCTGCAATCATTCATATATTTTAGTCTCCAGTCCCCTCATCATCTTTGTTGCTCTTCTCTGCACTCTTTCTAGAGTCTCCACATCTTTTCTACATTGTGGTGACCAAAACTGGTTGCTCTATTTCAAGTGTGGCCTTACCAAGGCATTATAAAGTGGCATTAACACTTCATGTGATCTTGATTCTATCCCTCTGTTTATGCAGCCTAGAACTGTATAAGCTGCCCACAGTCATTGACTGAGATAGGCGGCTATAGAAAGTGAATGAATGGATGAAGAAATGAACGAATGAAAACACTGAAAGTGATGAATTATTAGGATTGTTCATAACAACCGTCTTAAATTGCAAAACTTAAAATTCGATAGCCAGTGTTGCTGAAGCTTGAATTAGTGGGAATTACAACTGCAACAACAACAACAACACCCCAGAGGATACAGCCTAGGAGAAGGCTGGAGAACCCACTTCGTTTAGAAAGGAGACTTTTTAAGCAGATCACCCTCCAAAGATTACAGGAGGTATTTAGATTTAGACTTAGATTAACTTTATTGTCACTATGAATGTACACGGTTCCACCACAAAACCGCGTTGAACTAAAGCGCGCTCGACGAAACCGCGTAGCTGACATCATCATAGGACGACAACAGCGTGGAGACAGAAGCACGCTGTAAACGCTAAACCTAAAATTAACCCCTAAATGTAAACCTAACCCCCCTAAACCTAACCCTAAACCTAACCCTAAACCTAACCCTAAACCTAACCCTAAACCTAACCTTAACCCTAACCCTTAACCTAACCCTAAAGCTAACCCTAAAGCTAACCCTAAAGCTAACCCTTACCTTAAGTTGAATCGGCTTGCTTTCAAAGCGCTATTTAAAGCGCCCTTCTTTCTCCGCGCTGGCTGTTGTCGCCCTGTTGATGACGTCAGCGACGCGGTTTAATCGGGCGCGCTTTAGTCGAGCACGGTTTTGTCGTGCCACGAATGTACACACTGATCAGTACACATTAAAATGGAAATGTCATTGCATACAGCTCTCAAAAAGTCATGGATTCACATGGGTACATGGACCTCCATGACAAGGCAGATGGAGAAATGTAGGATCAGATTAGCGGTTCCAGCCAAATTAATGCTTGTGGATTTATTTTGTATTTTCTTTCTTTCTTTCCCCAGTATATGGGTTGCATTGAGATCCTGCAATCAATGAGATCTTTGGATTTTAACACCCGGACACAGGTCACCAAGTAAGTACCCATTTTCTCCCTTCTTTTTTTATCCTCGGGGTTCTTGGTCTTCTCTGATCTTGCTCTCTTCCTGCAGAAGTTTCGCTAGCAGATTAGTCCTAAAGGTGCTTTTTCTCAAGAGGCAACTGGACTTTCTGTTTTTTTTTTCTTTGAAGACGTTTTGCTTCTCATCCAAGAAGCTTCTTCAGCTCTGACTGGATGGCGGGGAATGGAAGGATTTCTGTTCCTTGCAGACAGCTGGTCATTTGCATTCTTTTAGAGAATCATTGAGGGCACAGATAAACCTCCAAGTGGCCTCAACAGCTCTCTTAGCAATAGCAGTTAGCAATAGCAGTTAGACATATACCGCTTCATAGGGCTTTCAGCCCTCTCTAAGCGGTTTACAGAGTCAGCATATCGCCCCCAAAGTCTGGGTCCTCATTTCACCCACCTCGGAAGGATGGGAGGCTGAGTCAACCTTGAGCCGGTGAGATTAGAACCGCTGAACTGCAGATAACAGTCAGCTGAAGTGGCCTGCAGTACTGCACCCTAACCACTACGCCACCTCGGCTCCTAAAAAGGATGTATCAATCAGCTTCCTTATGCCCCTTAAGAAGACAGCCAGCTTTTCATAATTAGCTTCCTTATGTCCCAATAATGAGAATATTTGTAGCTCAGGGTTGAAATGAAAGGTCCTTGATGCTCTCTGAGCTTGCTTGTTTTCTTGCAGAAGTTGCATTACCCAAACTAGGTAACATCATCAGGACTAGCATTGATGATGTTATCTAGTTGGGTAATGAAACGTCTGCAAGAAAACAAGCAAGATCAGAGAGCACCAAAAAAAACCCCAAAGCCTCCTTTTTATCATTAGCTTCCTTATATCCCTTAAGAAGACAACATCTTTTCCATAAGATATCTTTTTTATGGGAAGATACAAGAGTCCTCAACTTACGACCACAATGTGGTTAGGTAAGACACTTGTTAAATGAGTTTTGCCCCATTGTACACAACTTTTCTTATCACAGTTGTTAAGTGGATCATTGCAGTCATTAACTTAATAGCCCAGTTGTTAAGTGAATCTGGCTTCCCCCTTACCCTTGCTTGTCAGAAGGTCACAAAAGTTGACTTTACGACCCTGGGACACTACGGCCGTCATAAATGTGAATTGGTGGCCAAGTGTCTGAATTCTGACCATATGATCCCGGGGAGGCTGCAAAGATCGTAACTGTGAAAAACTGGTCCCAAGTCACTTTTTTGTAACTTTGAACGGTCACTAAACAAATCGTTGTAAATTGAGGACTAATTTGTCACGTTGTGTTTTAGTTAGGGATTACAACCGGGCAGCTCCAGTATCTTTGCTTGAGAAAAGCAGATGGAAGTTACTGATATCCTGACACTGCCATGCAAGACAACATAGTTAATTAGATGAGTGAAAATAATAAGAGATCTATTTGCAGCATATCAGTGGTGGGCTTCAAATTTTTTTAGAACCTCTTCTGTAGGTGTGGCCTGCTTTGTGGGAGTGGCTTGCCAGCCATGTGACTGGGTGNAAAGTCATGTGTGAGAGAGAATGTGTGTGTCTATGTGTGTTTGTGAGAGTATGTGTGTGAAAGTCATGTGTGAGAGAGAATGTGTGTGTCTATGTGTGTTTGTGAGAGTATGTGTGTGAAAGTCATGTGTGAGAGAGAATGTGTGTGTCTATGTGTGTTTGTGAGAGTATGTGTGTGAAAGTCATGTGTGAGAGAGAATGTGTGTGTCTATGTGTGTTTGTGAGAGTATGTGTGTGAAAGTCATGTGTGTGAGAGAGAGTATGTGTGTGTCTATGTGTGTTTGTGAAAGTATGTGTGTGAAAGTCATGTGTGAGAGAGCGCATGTGTGTGTCTATGTGTGTTTGTGAGAGCATGTGTGTGAGTCATGTGTGAGAGAGCGCATGTGTGTGTCTATGTGTGTTTGTGAGAGTATGTGTGTGAGTCGTGTGTGTGAGAGAGTATGTATGTGTGTCTATGTGTGTTTGTGAGAGCATGTGTGTGAAAGTCATGTGTGAGAGAGTATGTGTGTGTCTATGTGTGTTTGTGAGAGTATGTGTGTGAAAGTGGTGTGTGTGAGTCTGTTTGTGTGTAAAAGTCTCTGTGTATGAGAATGAGTGAATGGGTATGTATGTGTGGGAGAGATTCTGCATGTGTACATGTGTGTGAGAGTGAGCATAAGCATGTATGTATGTTTGGGAGAGTTTATGTGTGTCTGTGTTTGTGACAATCTGTGGTGTGAGAATCTGGGTGTGAGAATCTGTGTGTGTGTGTGTGTGTGAGACAGATTCTGTGCCTGTGTGCTTGTGTATGTGTGGGAGAGAGAGTCTGTGTTTGTGAGGGAGAATCTGGGTGTGAGAGAAACTCTATCCATGTGTGAGAGAGAGGGGGGGAGTGTGTTTGTGTGTAAAAATCAAGGTGCATGCCACAATTACATGATCAAAGCCCATTTTTACATGGTGTCTGTAAAATTGAGAGGGGGGGTGCCTTCAATATCCGGTTTCAATTTTTTTTACTATAACTTGGGTCTCCCCACCCTCCTGGTCCAGCTCCTCCCGCACTACTCCTAATTGGCTCTTGGGTTAGGAGGGAGGGGCTGGCTAAGTGTCAGCCAATGAGCTTAAGTGGCTGAAGGAGGACTAGAACCTGGGTCTCCTGACCCCTAGTCTCCCTTTTCCTCAACGGATTGGCTGTTGGACTGGACTGGCTCACATTCAGCCAATGAGCTTTCAGGACTGAGGAATACTAGATTGAGGGTCCCCCCCATTCTTAGTCCAGCATCCTCCCCACTACACCTGATTGGGTCCTGGGCTAAGAGGGAGGTACTGGTCCAAAATCAGCCAATGAGCTTCTGTGGCTGAGGAGGACTACAATCTAGGTCTCCCCGTTCCTAGTGCAGCCACTTCCTCACTATATTTGATTGGCTCTCGGGCTGAAAGGGAGGAACTGACTCACATTCAGCCAATGAGCTTCTGTAGCTGGTTTGGGGACTAGAATCCAAATTTTCCTGCCCTTAGTCCAGGATCTTCTCCATTAGATTATATTTGATTGGATCTTGGGATAAGAGGGAGGGACTGGCCCAGAGTCAGCCAATCAACTGACTGGGGTGGGAGGGGGGAAAGGGGGAAACGCTGGGGAAACTGAGGCTACCCATACCTCTCCTGGGGTGCTACAGTTTGGGGAGGGCTATGCAGGTACTGCTTGAAGCGGAGCTCAAAGGCCTGCCCGATGGTGCTGATGATGCTTTGCGCCAATCCGTCGCAGCATTCCAAGATGTGGCAAGCTGCCAAAGAGAAAGAGAAGATCCGCAACCAGACGTTAAACTTATTCCCCCCCCCCAAACAGATACACAACAAGACACAAACAGAGACACAAGACACAAACAGAGACACAAGACACAAACAGAGACACAACAAGACACAAACAGAGACACAACAAGACACAAACAGAGACACAACAAGACACAAACAGAGACACAACAAGACACAGAGACACAAGACACAAACAGAGACACAACAAAACACAGAGACACAAGACACAAACAGAGACACAACAAGACACAAACAGAGACACAACAAAACACAGAGACACAAGACACAAACAGAGACACAACAAGACACAAACAGAGACACAACAAAACACAGAGACA